GCTCTTCAGCTCAAGGCTAGTGCTCTACCACTTGAGCCACAGCACCACTTCCAGCTTTTTTCTTTTTGCTTATGTGGTGCTGAGGAATCGAACCCAGTGCCTCGAGCATGCAAGGCAAACGTTCTACCACTGAGCCACCTTCCCAGCCCCTAAAGCACCAGTCTTGAGGGGAGAAAGCAGGAGAGAGTTGTTCAGGCCCTGAGTTCAAGCCTCAGTGCCAGCACATAGAAAAAAGTAAGTAAAAAGAGAAGTTTCGGGTGAAGACTTTTTAGTCCTCCATTTTTTCTTTCAGCACCAACATCAGGATAGGGGGTGGAGGTGGGAGAGATGCATAACTGAATGGTGACAGGCCCAACTATGACTATGTATAGAAGACCGAGGTGCAGGAGACAGGAGAAGACAAGACAGACAAGACACAGGACAGAGGAATAAGAGATAAAACAGGAGACATCAAGAGAATAAAGCAGAAGCAGCAAAGACCCACAGAGGAAACAGGCTGCTTCCTCCTCTTCCTCCTCCCCTCCTCCTCCCCACATCTCACCAGGGCTGAGCCTGAATGAGGGCCCAGGTCCCCAGAACTGTGACCAGGGAGTGTAAAGTGTGGGGGCCACAGGTGAACAAGGTGAACCCCAGGCCCACTGCTGCTGCCCCCCATCTCTTCAGCCCAGGTCCTGCAGGAGAAAGGGGACAGTGTGTAAGTCTAGAATCTTCTTTTGGTGGGGGGGGGGAGAACCCCACCTGCCTCTGTCCCCGCCCACCTTTTATTTTCCACTGAGGGAACCTGACTCACCAGCCTTCTTAAAGAGGAAGCCGATGGGGATGGAGATAAGGAGAACCACTAGGTAGGTCCATTCTTCGGGTGACATGGTCTGGAGAAGCGAGGCGGGGCGGGTGGGGGAAGAGCAGGGGGCTCACAGTAAGAACCCAGGTGTGGCCTGCGGTCCTGGTCCTCCCGCGGAGGACGAAGGGGCCGATTCGGCCCTACCTTTCTAGAGACAGGCCCTGAGTCCTCTCCTCCCAGGATCCAGAACTTCCACTTCTTCCCGAATGCAAAAAATAAAACTATCCCCCTGACCCCTTCTAAACCTCCTTCCGGTTAGGACCCCAAAACAGTCTAACGGAGTCGGAATACGGCCCTGCCTCTTCCTCTGAGGACCCCAGGACCCCTCCATGTCCCTCCGGGGTCCCCCACAACCTCTCCCTCTTCGGGAACCCGGAGCCACTCCCACCCCGTCGACCGAGCAGCCGGAGGAGGCTAGGCCTCCAGCCCCGCTCTCTTCGGAGCTCCGGGGCCTCGCCCACCTCGACCCGACAGCCGATCGCCTCACCCCCAAGCCTCAGGTTCCGCGCACGCGGCAGCCCGGCGCGGAGTCCGACCCGACCGGGCGGAGCCCTAGGCGTCTATCCCCGCATTCGGCCCACATGCGGGCCCGCACTGCCCGCACCCGGCCCTCTGCGGATCGGCCCTGCCCGCACCCGGCCCGCACTCCCCGCACCCGAGCCCACCTGCCCATCCGCGCCTCCTGCACCCGGCCCACCTGAGCCGTCCACCGGGCGGGAGGAGGCCCGGCAGCCCGAACCCGAGCCCAGCGCGGTCCGCGCCACGCCTCCTCGCTCAGCACGTCTCGGCACCGTCAGATCCCGCGGGGCTTGTCACAGCCTCCGTCAGGGCTCGGGAGGGGCACAGCAGGAACGCGCCCGAGACCCGACCTCCGGGCTGCGTTCGAACTGCGGAGCTCGGGCGCGGAGCCGGGAGTACGTGAGGGGGCGTGGCCTCGGGGCGTGGCAAGGGCGTGGCTCCGGGCCTCGAGGGACGCGGGATTGGATCCTTGGAAGGGCGTGGCCAGAGCTGAGCCCGGGAGGGGGAGGGGCCTGCGCAGGGCTCCTTCCGGCACAGTCCGCAGCTCGCCTACACGGCTCGGGGGCGGGGCCACTGGCCTCGGCTTTCTCCGGGGCTAGATGCGAATTTCAATCGTGGCTTGGGAGTGGGCAGGGCCACAAGCTCCGGTTTATTTGGAAACCATCAAGTATGCGAGACCTTGGCTTGGTAATAGGCGGAGCACGGAGTCTTTTTTGGAGGAAAGAAGGACCCTCACGAGAGGGACAGAGCCCTGGAGGACCCGGGGGGCGGGACCATGAGTAATCTTCCCACCCCCGCGGGGGCGGGGTCAGCGCGGGCGGGGCCATAGCCCTGACGTGGGGCGGGCCCAGACTTTGCTTGGCTGCGTGGCGGAGTGACGAAAGTGACTCCTGGGGTCGGTATGATGGCGGGGTAGGAAGCCGCGCCGGTTGCGCTCAGTAGGGGCAGTTTCCGCCTTGACTGTGGGTTGTTTACAAAGTGAAGGCCTGGCTCCACCGGAGGACAGGGGGACTTTCTGAAGAGGAGCGAGGACGCACACTGAGCGCTCCCGAGTGTGGTGAGCCTGCCCAGCAGACACCGGGTGACCGGGGAGCTGTGGGGTTCACTCGTAGGGCGGGAACTTCCCTAAGTCGGGGGGCGCTGGTGGCTGGAGGGGGCGGGGCCACAGGCGGCGGGGGTTGCTGGGGGCCTCTGAGGCCCGAACGCTCCAAACCTTGCATTTGGGAAGAGGGCCGCAGCTTGGGAAAAGGGAGGAGTCCCGAACTTGCAATCGCTTGCGTTCGGGGAGGTGTGAGAGGGGGCGGGGAGCCTCGGCTTCTGCCCTGCGGAGGGAGCGTGGCCTGGTTTTGGCCACGCCGCCCGCGCGGAGGGGGCGGGGCTTGAGTTCGACCGAGCCACTGCCGCTGGAGGCGGGGCATGGTTTCAGCCACGCCTCCTGCACGGGGAGGGGGAGCAGCCTGGTATCAGCCTCTCCTCCTGCGCGGGAAGGGGGCGGGCCTAGCGCAGAGAAGGCGGGAAAGCCGAACCTCTGTGCCTTGGAGGGGCGGAGACGGAGATAGAGGGTCCGGTAAAGCTTGAGCTTTCGGCCGTGCTCTCCCAACACCTTCCGGGACGAAGGAGCGCGCTTTGCAAAGGGGCGTCTCCAAGTCATTCCGGGGGCGTGGCGGTGGTGGCCAATGGCGGGCTGAGCACCTTCGTCCTGCAGGGGCGGGGCCTGGCGTCGGGTGCGACGTGAGTGTGGCCCCGCCCCTACCTCCGGGTGTGCGGCTCTGCACGGCCCGGGGGTCGGGGGCGTGGGGGAGCCCTGGGCAGTCCCGCCGTGACTTCTGCGTTTCCCCCTACAGGAGGATGTTGGTGGTGGAGGTGGCGAACGGCCGCTCGCTGGTGTGGGGGGCCGAGGCGGTGCAGGCGCTGCGGGAGCGCCTGGGTGTCGGGGGCCGCACGGTGGGCGCCCTACCCCGCGGGCCCCGCCAGAACTCCCGCCTGGGCCTCCCGCTGCTGCTCATGCCCGAGGAGGCGCGGCTCCTGGCCGAGATCGGCGCCGTGACCCTAGTCAGCGCCCCGCGCCCCGATCCCCGCCAGCACGAACTGGTAAGAGCTAGGGGGCCCTAGGTGGCGGGCTCCGGGAGACCCCTTTCTGGAAAGCGCGGTCGGGAGGCCGGGGGGGGGCGCAGAGTGCGTCTTGGGGCTCCAGCTACGTTTATTTCGTAGGCTCTAGCATCATTCAAGCTCCAGCAAGACCAGAGCTTCCGGGAGCAAAGCGCGTTGGCCGCCAAGGCCCGGGAGACCCGGCGGCAGGAGCTCCAGGAGAAGATAGCAGAAGGCCAGGCTGCCAAGAAGCAGAGGTTGGAGCCGGATTCGGGGGCGGCTGGCGGGAGCCAGGCTGCGGAAGAGCATGACTCCAGAGATGGGCAGGCTTCTGGGGAGCAGGCGGGAACAGGTGAGAGCCGGATCTGGATGGAGGCCTGGGATGGATGGGGGCTCCAGGGAATTCTGGCCAGCCTTTCCTGGGGGCAGGAGGACCTTGTCCTTGAACTCAACGGACTCTCCTCCCCCCCCCCCACGCACCCCCAGTCCTCTCCTCTTCCCAACCAGGACCTTCAAATGAGGTGGCTCCGCTGCCCAGATCGGCCCAGCTTGTGCAGCTGGCCACCGCCAGGCCTCGACCTGTCAAGGCTAGGCCTCTAGACTGGCGGGTCCAGTCCAAAGACTGGCCCCACGCGGGCCGCCCCGCCCACGAGCTTCGTTACAGCATCTACAAAGACCTGTGGGAGCATGGCTTTTTCCTCAGTGGTGCTGGCAAGTTTGGCGGTGACTTCCTGGTGTATCCTGGTGAGCGCAGGCCCCAGCTCTGCTGGCTGTCTTTCCACTCCTACGTGTGTTCTGTGTCTTCCTATTTATGTCGTGGTTTTTTCCTTAAGTGTCTGAAACCTTTAAGACAAGCCACATTCCTCTGGTGCTCATCTGCAGTGGGGCTTAAGTAACTTGGTAAACACAGACTGAGGGTCCACACACACCTGTGCAGAAACTCCCAGATAGAACTGCAAATTTGGGAAGGAGCGAAATGTAAGTTGTCAAGGCAACAGCATTAGTGACCAAAAGTCATGGAAGTCTATGTGTGCTTATAAAAGAGATGACAGAAAATGTCTATGGGAAAAGTTTTATTTTTATTTAGATATGAAGATGCCTATATGTCATTTAAATTACCACCAAAGCTATTGATTTACGTTATTTTAGGTCCAGCCTTTTATTAGCAATATAATCTTTGGTCTTACAGATATACTGTAAGATCTTAGTGAGTCTGTGGTTTAATCATTTCCATCTTTTTGGTAATTATGTGATTAAGTGACTTTGTAGCTATACGTTAGCGCTACTATACTTTTTTTTTTTTTTTGCGGTACTGGAGTTGGAACTCAGTCTCACACTTGCTAAACTCATGTTCTACTGCTGATCCATACCTTCGGCTTCTTTGTTTTCCTATTGGTTGAGACTGGCTCTTGCTTTTTCCTTGGGCCCATACCTGGATCCTCTTATTTTTACTTTTCTATCATATTTTAGGATGACAAGTATGCCACAACCCCCAACTTCTTCCATTGAGATGGAGGCTCTCAGTATTTATTTATTTTTGTCTATTATCTTCCCTGTCCATTCTCCCTGTAGCTTTCAGTACCAGCTCTTGCCACTAGGAAGAAATCTTGAGAAGTAGATTTTTTAGGTCACATGGTACTGAAATGACCCTGGGTCCCTGTACTGGTGTCTTCCAACCCTCTGCCTTTGGGAACCCCTACATGCCCATCTCCCTCTCGCAGGTGACCCGCTCCGCTTCCATGCCCACTACATAGCTCAGTGCTGGGCCGCTGAAGACCCCATCCCACTCCAAGATCTGGTCTCTGCTGGCCGCCTTGGGACCAGTGTCAGAAAGACACTGCTGCTGTGCTCTCCTCAGCCTGACGGTAAGGTGGTCTATACCTCCCTGCAGTGGGCCAGCCTGCAGTGAGCACCACCACCCAGGGCTCACACCTGATCCTCAGCAAGAGCCTTCCCAGATGGCCCAGACTCATCTCTGCACTCACCTCTGCGTGGAGGTCAGCCTCCCTGATTCCCTGTATGTTGACCCTAGGGTTCGGAACACTACAGCTTTTTTAGGCTCAGCCTACTTCTAGGCACTAACTAATTGGGCTGCTTTTGTAGTTTATCTGTTTCCAAACTGTGAGCTTCTTCACAGAGGGTCTAGGTTTGACCCCTCTCTGTTTTGTACAGGGCTTAGATCTCAATGAATTTTGTTGAATAAATGTCAAGTTTGTGATTTTTTTAGTCCTTGACACATCATGCAAGGGTGGGGTGCTTACTCAGGTGAGAAAAAGGAGGGCAAATAACTTGCCCAGAATCACTCAATTGTAAGTGGTGGAGCTGGGCTTTTACCTGGCCTTTCTTTTTTGGGGGGGTGGGGTGGGGCAATCTGAGGTTTGAACTCAGGGCTTTGTGCTTGTGAAGAAGGTGCTCTGACACTTCAGCAACACTCAAACAGTGGGCAAGACTGGGAGTTGAGCTCAGGGTTCCATGTTTGCAAGGCAGGGCTCTTATCACTCGAGACTGTTTGGCAATAAACTTATAAACACACTATCTACCCTCAGTTCTTTAGGGGGTTTTGTCTTCTTGTTTTTTGGTGCCAGTACCAGGCCTTCGTTGTTCATTCATGGTCTTGCTCACAGCTAGCACTCTACTGCTTGAGCAAAGTATCCAGTACTAGTTTTTTGCTGGTTAATTGGAGAGAAGAGCCTCTCAGATTTGTCTGCCTAGTCTGGCTTCAATCCTTGATCTCTGATCTCAGCCTCCTGTGTAGCTAGGATTACAGGTAAGAGCTGCTGGTACAGGTGGGACAAAAGGTGAAGATACATTTAAAAGTTTCATGGGTTAAGTGATGAGGTTGTCCCTTAGAGAGCCCAGGCTGGGGCATAGCCTAGTAGGGTGCACTTCCCAAGTATGTGTGTCACTGGGTTTAATATCAGCACTGTGGGAGTTAAAACAAAACTGGGCACTAGTGTCTCAGGCTTGTACTCCTAGCTACTCAAGAGGCTGAGATCTGAGGATGGTGGTTTGAAGTCATGCCAGGCAGAAAAATTCATGAGACTTTTATTCTCACTTGAGCTTTGGCTCAAGTGGTAGAACGCCAGCCTTGAGCAAAAAAGCTAAGGGACAGTGCCCATACCCTGTTCAATCTCTAACAGTCCGAAAAACAATAATAAAAAAGCCTCTGCTGTTCATTGCATATATGATATAGTAAGATCTTTTTTTTTTTTTTAGTCCAGTTGTGGGGCCTGAACTGTGGGCCTGGGCGCTGTCCCTCAGCTCTTCAGCTCAAGGCTAGCGCTCTACCACTTGAGCCACAGCGCCACTTCCGGCTTTTTTCTTTTTGCTTATGTGGTGCTGAGGAATCAAACCCAGGGCCTTAGGCATGCAAGGCAAGCGCTCTACCTCTGAGCCACCTTCCCAGCCCTCTAGTAAGATCTTTTGTGTTTGTTTTGCCAGTCCTGGGGCTTGAAATTAGAGCCTCGGTATTGTCCCTGAGCTCAATGCTAGCACTCTACCATTTTGAACCACAGTGCCACTTCCAGCTTTTCCTGTTTATGTGGTATTGAGCAATCGAACCCAGGGCTTCATGCATGCTAGTCAAGCACTATACCACGAAGCAACATTCCCAGCCCATAGTGAGATCCACTTTGAGGCAAAGCGACTTCACCCTCAAATAGCCAGCTTTCTGCATAATTCTTAGTATGATTAGCTCTCGCTAATGCTTCAGGTTTCAATGACTAAACGGGAGATTTCATTACTCATCAAATCACCTTTTGGGCTGGAACTTAATGGATCAAGACCCTCCAGTGGGAGCCGAGGGAAGCCCTTTGCAGAAGGAGGTTGCGCTGTAAGAATAGGCTCAGGCATCAAGACAAGTCCTACAGCAGTTGACACAATTTGGTGAGACCCACCAAGCCCAGCGACTGAGGTGTAACCAAATACTCTGCTCACATCTTGGCGAATACAAAGTCAAAAACCAAACTCGGGCGATAAAGCAGTAGTGAAAGATGGCTAATTACCTACAGCAGGCAAACATCACGCTGGAAGCATTTCCAAAGCGATGCCTTGGTCCAAAGAACGAAGAGGGAATTATGCACATTCGCAGGCGGAGTGGAGGGACAGTTTAGGGGCGGGGCGGTCACTTTCCTGGAGAAGCTCGGTGGTAAGGTCCTGCCAGAAGTAAAGATGGCCGACACACTTCTGGACATGCCCAGTTCAAGGTCCCAGCCCATGTGTAAGAATTTAAAATGGAGGACTGGGCATGCTTCCATGTGGTAATTATTCTTACTAAAGGTTTGCCTAAGAGAATGCGCAAGCGTGGCTTGGAGACCGTGGCTAGTTCTCTCGTTTCTTCAAAGAATCTTACCTGGAACTGAGACAGTTCTGTGGTGCGTGGACGCCGGGAGCCTGAGTGATGGGCCAGGTCGCGTCCCGCCTCCTTTGGAAGCCGAGAGTCGAGCTAAAACGTGGCCGGCCTGACTTGGGGGGGGGGGGGGGGGGGTTCCTCATTCCAATCTCTCCACGTGAACAGACCGAGTCCTCCCAGCCCGGCGCCGCTCTAGCCCAGCCTCTCCTCTCTACTGCTCTCCTGGCGGCCAACAACGCTTGCTGTGATTGGTGCAGACGGCAGTCTTGCGCGGTGACGCCACGAGCCGGCGGCGTTGGTATAAGAGCGCGGCGCGGCGTGCGTACTCCTCTTTCTGTATCACAGCCGGCGTGCAGGTTAGTTTTTCTGTTCGGCGGTATTTTCTGGGTATGGGAGAGCGGGAAACGGGGTGCATGATCGCGTAGGGATTCTGGGCGTTCACGGTTAATCTGAAGAAAACACAAAGGAGGCCGAGAGCTGATGAGAAGGGCGATTGTGAGCTTAGGAAAGTTTCCGGGTCGTTCTCGTGAGATTTCCTCGCGAGATTTCGTCATGAATTCCCACGCGCGGTGCTGGCGCCAAGTGTGAGCCTTCTGCGCAGGCGCTCTGCGGGTTCTCAAGCCCTCTTTCTCTGTCTCCCCCTTTCACACAGGCGCTGACGGCTTAGGGGAGCCAACATGCCGGTGGCCAGGAGCTGGGTTTGTCGCAAGACCTATGTCACCCCGCGGAGACCCTTCGAGAAATCCCGTCTCGACCAGGAGTTGAAGTTAATCGGTGAGTCGCGGAGATAGTTGAGGTGTCTGCGTGAGGCTGCCCACGTGCTTGCAAGGCAGTTTGGGAGGGTTTCATGTCGGGTGTCTATCCTGCTCTGAGCCTGCGCTGCCCCCCTTTTGTCCACCCGCAGGCGAGTATGGGCTCCGGAATAAGCGTGAAGTCTGGAGGGTCAAGTTCACCCTGGCTAAGATCCGCAAGGCTGCCCGGGAGCTGCTGACTCTGGACGAAAAGGACCCACGGCGTCTGTTCGAAGGTGGGCATAGAAGGGGGGGGAGCATCAGAGGAATCGGGAACAGGGGTGCTGAGGTTCCAGGCAAAGCCGACCCTTGTAGATACCTGGGTTTTCTTGGACCAAAGGTTAAATCCTATGCTCTGCCACTGTGAGCTGAATGTCCCAAAGGCTTGGGTTCTGAACTTCTGTGGACTGCATCTGGGCAGCCTCCTGGGCTACTAACAGTAGCTAGTCCACCCTGAGTGGGCTCTGCTGTTTCCCAGGTAATGCCTTACTGCGTCGGCTTGTTCGCATCGGGGTGCTAGATGAGGGCAAAATGAAGCTGGATTACATCCTGGGCTTGAAGATAGAGGATTTCTTGGAGAGGCGCCTGCAGACTCAGGTCTTCAAACTGGGCCTGGCCAAATCCATCCACCACGCCCGTGTGCTCATCCGCCAGCGCCATATCAGGTACTGCCCCTGGAGTCCTCCCCAGCCCAGCCCCTCGGCGGTCGCCGTTGTTAAGCCTGCTGTCCCTGTCTCTTGTGCAGCCCTTGGAGCTGATAGGTGTGAGCTTACCTTGAGGGTACAGATTGAACCTGTTCACAAGGGTGGAGGGTGATCTGGGGTCAGCCTCATTCCCCTAGCCCAGCGCAAGGATCACTGCGGCCTGAGCCGTACACCTTGCGAAGGCCTCTGCCAGGCTGTGAGCCGCTGCACAGGTAAAGCCCCACAATGCCCCCTTGGCAGGTGAGAAGGGGGTCTGGCCTAGTTGGACAGGCTGAGCTGTGTATGGTGGCTTGAAGCAGGTCCTGTCCAACTCTGTCACTGCATTCTGTTTCTGTCATCACCAGTATGACAAGTTCACAGTTGATGTCTGTAGGAGTTGGGCAGTCAGACAAGTACTATCTGACCTTTAACTAGCCACATCAACCCAGAGCATCACTTAGGATTTCTTGTGTGAGGTGGAGAGAACCTCCAGATGCTCTGTGTGGGTTACCCTGGTGCTCAGGAGCCTGGCATGACACTGTCAGAATCAGGAGTGCCCATCAGCCTGCAACCCGTGAGTGCAGCTACAAGTGAGCCCAGCAGATGGGCTGACAAAGGAAGTTGGGGCAGGGCCTTAGTGGTCTGGTCTACCTGTTCACCTGTCCTCCCCCCTCCAGGGTTCGCAAGCAGGTGGTAAACATCCCATCCTTCATCGTGCGCCTGGACTCCCAGAAACACATTGACTTCTCCCTCCGTTCTCCCTATGGGGGAGGCCGCCCAGGCCGTGTGAAGAGGAAGAATGCCAAGAAGGGCCAGGGCGGGGCTGGAGCCGGGGATGACGAGGAGGAAGATTGAGCCCATACTGGCCTGGGCTGGATGATGGTTTAGTTTTCCAGTCAATAAAACACGATCAACACGGAACTTGGTGCTTATTGAGGTGCTGCACTTTTCCACTGTCCTCTCCCCTTTTCTACACACAGCTTGTTGATGAGAATGTTGGCTGAGTGCAGGCCAGCCACCTCTGTACTCAGCTGCTGTGAATCCCCAGATGGCCGTCCTTCCATTCACAGCCTCAGCAGTAAAGGAGATACTTAAGAGCTGTGCAGGCCAAGCATTGTATAGAACGGAAGGGTTTACTTTGGGGCAGAAGCTGGTGATTTAGTCACTTGGGAGAGCAGCTGGCTGGCTACAGGGTATCAGTGTTGTTGATCTGGTAAGCAGAGCCATGACCTTTGGGGAAGGAGGAAGTGGTCTGATTCTGAGCAAATGAGAAAGGAAATTGAGCAAGAAGTCAGTTAAGTGGGCAATACCAGTGCAGGCATGGATCCCAGGTCTCCTGAAGTCTGTGAGGTCCAGGGTTCAGGACAGCTTCATGGGGTTCCCCTCCAGCTTGCACACAGGTGATGGCATTCTATGGGATCTGTGGCCAACTGCAGTGGAAGCACCTCACTTTACATCCTGCTCTTCTGACCTGGCAGCACCCCTTTAAGTCACCCTGGTGAGCAGGGCAAGGGTCATGCTAGGGGAAGAAGGTGAAACTTGCTGTTTCAGTGTCAGGATAGACATGTGACTTGAGTGTAGGCCCAGCTGCTATGGGATAGTGGGTGGGGAAATAGAGGAGTAGGGTGTTGGCCCCACCAGTCCTTTCCAAGGACCATTGCTTCACAGTGTGAAAGGAGAATAACTAGGTCTGTGTGGCCCTGGTAGAAAACCAGCCTTGGGTAAGCTCGGCCCTGTTAGGAGAGGGAGTGTTTGCCATGCTTCATAGCAACGGGACACCTTGCTCAATTCCTGTAATCCTAATTATTCCAGGGAGACAGATTGTAGGGTTGTGATTCCAAGCCAGTCAGGAAACATCCAGCCAGAGCTGTAGCTCAAGTAAGCCTTGGGCGCAAAAGCTCAGAGAATGCCCAGGCCACAGTTCAAGCCCCAGGACCATAGGGGAAAAGTGCACTTTGGGACTTAAGCCAAATAGCCTTAAGGCACTAAACAAGCCTCCCCTCCTCAGCTACCCCCTGACCCTAGACAGCCGGAAAAGTTTTGGCAAGTATTCCCAAATGAACGACAGCATAGGTGAAATTGCCACACTCTGCAAGTGCTCAATCAGTGACCTTGGCCGGAATGGGGGTGATTTTTTTTTTGGGGGGGGTCCAGTTGTGGGGCCTGAACCCTGGGCCTGGGCACTGTCCCTCAGCTCAAAGCTAGTGCTCTGCCACTTGGGCCACAGTGCTATTTCTGGCTTTTTTTTTTTTTCGCTTATGTGGTGCTGAGGAATCGAACCTAGGGCCTCAGGCATGCAAGGCAAGTGCTCTACCACTGAGCCACCTTCCCAGCCCAATGGGGGTAATTCCTAAAATGTGCAGATGAGAGCTCCTGGGTGTTTGGAGGGTGGCATCCAGCCTTGCTCAGAAAGTAGGTGCTAGGGCTGGGAATGCGGCTTTGTGGTAGAGTGCTTGCCTAGCACAAGTGAAGCCCTGGGTTCCATTTCTCAGTACCACATACACAGAAAAAGCCAGAAATGGTGCTGTAGCTCAAATGGTAGACTACTAGCCTTGATCCAAAGAAGCTCAAAGACAGTGCCCAGACCCTGAGTTCAAGCCCCAGGACTGGCACCAAAAAAAAAAGTAGGTGTCAGAGAAAGAAAACACTGTTGGGGCTGGGAATGTGGCTCAGTGGTAGAGCACTTACCTTGCATGCTTGAAGCCCTGGGTTCGATTCCTCAGCACCACATAAGCAGAAAAAAAAGCCGGAAGTGGAGCTGTGGCTCAAGTAATAGAGCACTAGCCTTGAGCTGAAGAGCTGAGGGACAGCACCCAGGCCCAGAGTTCAGGCCCCACCACCAGACTCCCCCCACCCCCAAAAAAGAAAGAGAACACTGTTGCTGACTGATCGCAGAACATTCCATCGTGACAGAAAGCAGTTGGTGACAGAAAAACTAGGGAACTGGAAAGTGGAACTCAGGAAATGAGCCAGAATGTAGCAACAGTCCTACTAAAAATACTAAGGATAGAACATAAAGGCAGAGTAACCACGCCCCAAATACATCTCCCTCCTGAGTCAAGAGGAGGCAGGATGCCAGAGCTTGGTGGGATGTCAAGGTTTGCTGGGGAAGGAAAGACAAAACAGCAGCACAGGTCCTGCAATGGATTCAGAACTTATAATCAAATGGAGGAGTAGCCCTAAATGTGTATGTGCTCATGGAACCAGGTACATGGAAGGGATAACACATTTTGTATTGAACACAGGTATTTATTTTCTTTTGTCAGTTGTGGGGCCTGAACTCGGCCTGGGCACTGTCCCTCAGCTCTTCAGCTCAAGGAGAGGGTTCTGCCACTTGAGCCACAGTGCCACTTTGGCTTTTCTGCTTATGTGGTGCTGAGGAATCAAACTCAGGGCCTCAGGCATACGAGGAAAGAAAGCACCCTACCACTGAGCCAGACATCTTCCCAGCCCTTGAGCACAGTTAACCGTTCCCTTCCATTCATATCTCATTGCTCTCCTTGCTTGTTGAGAAATGGCTTGCTTTAGCTTCAAAACAGTGCGGTATTCAATATCTGAGCAGAAAAAGGGCCAGGTTCACAATCTCCTGGGGGTCTCATGTAGGTTATCTGCAGGCCAGCCCAGGGTCACTGCTTAGTGCCCTTGGGGCTCCTTGCTGCCAGCGAGGCATACAGGCTCGGCTCTGCTGGGGGGGCCGCCATCTGCTGTGTGAGCGCCACATGGCACAGCTGGGCATAGGTCACATCCTGGGGGTCCTCACGGGAAGCAGCCTGGAGTGGAGAAAGAAGGGGTATTCTTGGTGCTGGGGGACCTGAGAGGGCTGGATGGACTTGGCTGGCAAGTGGGCATGGTCAGCTGTGGCCACCACTGGTGCCCAGTGGGGAGGGGGGGTACAGGGAAGGGAGCCCGGGGCTAAATGGAAACAAGAAGCTTCCGTGGAGTGGGGTCTCACCCTGCTGTCCAGCTCCACCCCATCCTTGGGCTCTGTGTCCTTCGCAGCAGCATCTGGGAGACAGGACGAAGTCATGACCCAGCCAATGTCCCTCAGGTCCCACCTGTCCTATCCTAGATGGAATTGGTGGGGTTCACCCTCTCCTCCCCCCTGGGAAATGCAGAGCCCCCTGCCAGACTTACCCTCATACAGGATTTCTTCCTGGACAGCAGCAGCTGGGCTGGAGCTGGGGAGACGAGGTGGGGGGTCAGGAGGCAGTGAGGGTGGGTGAGCGGGGGGGGGGGGGACCGGGGAACAAGACTTACCTCCCAGGCAGGCCTCTGTCCCCAGGCACTGACTCCACAGTCCCTGCCCCAGTCTCTGCTAGAGGCAAGAGAGAAAGGGTCTCAGCTCAGGGGGTAGGGCCCCCTCCTCCAGGGAGGGGGGGGGAGAAAGGTGGCTGCACACTTGTCTGAAGGCCTGTAGGGTCATAGAACACCTGAGATATGCACAGGCGACCAGCCCAGTATTTTTTGCTTAGGTTTCAGGTTTGAGAGCCTGCAGCCATACAGTCCATGAGTTCTTTGCACCCAGACCCCCCTCACTACTCACCTGATTTCCTGCCTTTGTCCTGACTCCGGTGCCAGAGGAGGAAAAGGAGGAGGAAGAAGAGCAGAAGGAGGAAGGCCACTGAGACCCCGATGAGAATCTGCAGGTAGCTTTCCAGCCCTTGGGGACAAGTGACATTGAGCTGTGTGCCAGGTGCCCTCCGTGTATCCTCAGTCTTACAGTGGGATGCCAGCCCCATGTAGCCAGTTTACAGGTGGGGAACTAGGGCTCAGAGACAGTCACCTGCCCCAAGTCACCCAGCAGGAAGCAGCAGAGGTGGGATTGAAACCTAGGGAGTCTGACTTCCAGCCTTGTCTCCACCAGAGCTGAGCCCCTAAGTTGCAGGACAGTGCCATAAGCACCCCTGTCCTAAATAGTTTCACTGTCACCATTCAGAGGGGATGGCCCACTATGGACTCTATCCTCTGGCATCCTCTTCTCCCAGGGGATCACCACCAAGGGCAGCATGGAAAGGAACTTGAGGTCTGGCCTGTGGGTAAACTGAGGCCTGGAGGCCCCAGTGTGTTGTGCAGAGGAGGCCGCATGCATCCCATAGCTCAGCCCCAGCCTCCTGGGCCCAACCTCCCCACAGAGCCTCCCCTTACCTCTCTTGGGGCCCACCTCCTTTGGGGTGAGGGTCTGCTCTGTTACAGGGCCTGAAGTGGGGGATGGGAGGTGAGTGTCTGGCTCCCCGCTTTCCACCTGGGCTCTCCTTGCACTTGCCCTCTGCCTTGACCCCACCCTCCTGCACCCCCTTTCTGCTCCTAGGATTCTGGGGTCTCCACTTGCATCTTTGTCTGGGTGGGGCCCAGACAGGAGCTGAACCTGGATGGGTGGAGATGTGGGGCAGAGGCTTCCACACTCACCTGCTGTTGGCTTGTTCCACGGGGGTGGGGGGTGGAAGCACCCGGGGAAATCTGTGTGCAGGCACAGAGGAGGGTGAGGCATAGGGCATTCCTGAGACCCCCACCTCTACTCTTGTGCCTCTGCCTTGTGGCTGCCATACCTTTCCTGACCACCATTCCCTTATGGATGTCAGTCATGGGGGCCCCCTTTCTCCTCTGAGAGGGTTGCACCCCCTTCCAGTTGACATTCCCCCCATCCCAGGGAGACTGCATCAGACTCCCCACGACCTTCAGACAGAGTTGTGAGAGAAGTCACCCCTGAGCGCAGAGCCCAGGTCCAGACCCCCGAGTGTCCCCTCACCTGTCACCACCAGCTCCAGGGGCTCACTATGGTCTGACCAGCCAACAGGGCTAAGGTAGACACAGAAGTAGCGCCCAGCATCACCCTTTTTCATCGACTGGATGAAGAAGGAAGTCCTGTTCCCCCATGTTTCCAGGGTATTTGTGGACCATTGAACACTGTGTTCTTTCTGCAGACGGAACTCCTTGGCCTTCCTGGCCCCTTCACACCACAAGGTCACAGCGCTTCCCTGGGCGACCACAGAGCAGGGCTCAGCCCGGAGGACCGGTCTAGGGAAGCTTCCTAAAAGGACATCAGAGACTGCACCCAGAACTTCCCTCTATTTACCCAGTGACCCCAGCCTCAACGCCACCTGCTGACCCCGTACCCTCTGCCCAGGGTGCCCTGTCCCCTGCTGACCCCCTCCCCTCCGCCCAGGGAAGCCCTTGTCCCCAGGGAGGAGGACACACTCACCCCCCTGACCTTGGGCTGTGGAGTCCACACTCAGGCCTGAAAGGAGTTGGTTCCCATGAGAGGTGCGCTCTTCCCAGAGCCTCCTGAGCCTGGGGCCCTGGCTGAGGAGAGAGAGGGGCTGGGGACCCACACTTCCCACCTTAGCTTCCCCTCTTATCTCACCGAGGTACAGCAGGGCTGCTAGTGTGAGGGCCATGCTGTGCGCACAGCGCCTGCGGTGCCTGCGGAGGAGCCTCGGCATCTGGCTGCAGAGGCACAGGATGTGGCTTTTGCCTTCTACTCCCAGACTTGCTACACCCACAGTGACACCAAAAGGGGAAATGCCCACCCATGAGCCTGGCTCTTGTTTCTGAGGACTGGGCTCTCTGTAGGTGGGGATCCCCCAGATTGAATCCCCATCTGACTTCATCTCACTGAGGGCTGGACTGTGGCAGCAGACACCCCTGGCTCCATCCTGTATTTCTCTCCCTCCAGGTAAAGTGGGGTTTGGAGGCTGGTCCTTCCCTCTGAGGGTCTTTGTGGGGTCTCTGTCCTCCTCCAGCCCCTCCACCCTCAGCCTTGAAGGCATTTTGGGAGGATGTAGAGCAGCAGGGTCACGGCAACCATGCCTGGAGCTCTGTTTGGGGAGCAGCACAGAGGAGGGATGTGGGAGTCAGGGAAATGCTGCCCCCACATGGATGCCCCTTATTCACCAGACCCCACCTCTCCCCAGACCAAACAATGGTCCCTTTCCTTGCCTTCTCCCTGCCCTGTTCCCTGCAGAACTCTCCTGGTGCTGGCAGACGATCTAATGTTCCTTCCCCCTCCACGGTCCTGGCCGATGGGAGGCAGGAGCCTCTCCTTCCTCTCCATCCAGCTTCTTGCTGGCAGCCTGGTGTCTTCCCCTCGTTCTGCAGAGGGGCAGAAGGGTCACCCCCATGTGTGACATGCAGAGGTCCAATCACGAGTTATTTCTGGATCAGGGTAAAATCTGAGCTTGGGACTCGAGAAGCTCATGGAGATGTGCCTTTGTCTGCTCCAAGCATTGGAAACGGCCCAGAGAGTATGTCTGAAGTTTGCCAAGCATCGATGTCATGAGCAGAGAGAGGAAAAATCAAAGTTCTCCAGAAAGGGAGAGAGCCATGGCCACACCAGGGACTGTGACTGTGGAGGCCCAGTGCCTGGGAGCATCCGGACGCTCTGGGAGGCCGGGCTCCTCCCTGTGAGTGAGGTGTGGTCTGGGGCTGGGGAGGTTGGCAGCTTTGTCCCTGCTCCTCCCCCATTTCCTCTGTGTTGTGCTTGGCACTGGGCTTTCTCAGCTCACCACCTGGACCTCGTGGCCAGCCCCGAGAGCCCACCACGCGCTAAGACATGCTCTCTCCTGCGTGGCCCCTGTGGGTGTGAGTATAAGGGGCAGTTGGACTGGCAGATGCCTGCTGAGAGAGGTGCATGCCCAGGGCAGGAGCCACTAAGGAACGTGAACTTTCTGATGCCACTCATTGCACGAGTGAATGCACAAAATACATACATGCAACTGCGTATTTTCCAGGCCAAAAATCCTCCCCCCCCCCCAGACAAATCCTGTGATATGTTGCAAAATGAAGTAATTAAGTGTGACAAGCCATGATCTCATTACATGAGGAATAAAAACTAGCCAGGCAGGCTGGGAAGGTGGCTCAGTGGTAGAGTGCTTACCTTGCATGCATGAGGTCCTGGGTTCGATTCCTCAGCACAACATAAACAGAAAAAGCCAGAAGTGATGCTGTAGCTCAAGTGGTAGAGCACTCATCTTGAGCTAAAGAGCTGAGGGACAGAGCCCAGGCCCAGAGTTCAAGCCCCATAATGGACCAAAAACAAAACAAACTAGCCTGGCCCAGTCGGGACAGGAAAGGACATGAGACTTTTCTACAATAAACCACTCAGAAAACTGGAAGTCCCACTGTGGCTCAAATGGTAGAGCCTGGGGCTGGGAAGGTGGCTCAGTGGTAGAGCGCTTGCCTTGCATGCCTGAGGCCCTGGGTTCAATTCCTCAGCACCACAAAAGAAAAAAGCCGGAAGTGGAGCTGTGGCTCAAGTGTTAGAGCACTAGCCTTGAGCTGAAGAGTTGAGGGACAGCACCCAGGCTCAGAGTTCAGGCCCCACGACTGGACCCCCCCCCAAAAAAAATATGGTAGATCCCTAGCCTTGAGCTGAAGAGCTGAGGGATGGACCAAGGCCCAGAGTTCAAGCCCCACGACCAACCACAAAAAAGAAAAAGGAAAAAATTCAGTGTGCGCAGGACTCATGAAATCACAAAGAGAGAATGGAATTATATACTGGTTACATTTTGGAGAAATGAAAATCCAAAAAAGACAATATGCACAGGAGATGGGAAGAAGAGAGGAAGCAGACTTCCCACTCGGTTTCAGAAAAAAAAGGCTGTGAGCAAGGAGGTTGGGTAATATTTGGGGGTAAAAAGAAAACATTCAGTAGGTTTACAAAAAGTGAAGAAAGGCTTGGGCTGGGAAGGTGGCTCAGTGGTAGAGCGCTTGCCTTGCATGCCTGAGGCCCTGGGTTCAATTCCTCAGCACCACATAAGCAAAAAGAAAACAGCCAGAAGTGGAGCTGTGGCAGCTGAAGAGCTGAGGGACAGTGCCCAGGCACAGAGTTCAGGCCCCATGACTGGACCCTCCCCCCCGCCCCCCAAAAAAAGGCTAGGCACTAGTGGCTCACACCTGTAATCCTAGCTACTCAGGAGGCTGATATGTGAGGATGGGATTTGAAGCCAGCCTGGGCAGGAAAGTCCATGAAACTCTTATCTCCAATTTTCAGCTAAGACAAAGCTGGAAGTGGAACTGTAGCTCAAGTGGTGGAGTGCTATCCTTGAGCAAAAGCAGCTCAGGGACAGCGCATAGGCCCTGAGTTCAAGCCACAAGACTGGGGAAAAAACAAAGTGTAGATTTAGGACATATGTTGCTGTAGTTTAGATCATGAATTCCCCAAAGGCCAAGTGATGAATGGTGCCAGTTAGGAGGTGGTGCTTACTGGAAGGAAGTTAGGTCCTTGGGAGCGGTGCTTAATTGGAGAAAGTTAGGTCCTGGTTAGGGCTTAATGGAAGAAAGTTGGGTCATTGCCGGGCGCTGGTGGCTCACGCCTGTAATCCTAGCTACTCAAGAGGCTGAGATCGGAGGATCGAGGTTCAAAGCCAGCCCGGGCAGGAGAGACCGTGAGACTCCTATCTCCAATAAACCACCAGAAAACCGGAAGTGGCGCTGTAGCTCAAGTGGTAGAGCGCTCGCCTTGAGCTGAAGAGCTGAGGGACAGTGCCCAGGCCCAGAGTTCAAGCCCCATGACTGACAAAAAAAAAAAAAAGTTGGGTCATTATAGGCCAGAATTAATTGAAAGAAGATTGCTCCTTGGAGGCATGGCCTTGACAGGTACTGGGAGCCATGTCTTTTCTCTCTCTCTCTCTGTTTCTTTCTCTGTCTCCCCCACACTCCCTTCATCCCACCATTCACCCTACCTGCCCCTTCTCTCCCACAAATGTACCCCTCCATCTCCCTTTCTCCTTTCCTCCTATTCCTTTCTCTCTCTTCATCCTACACGTATCTCTCAGTATCTTGCTGAGAAATGGGGTGATGTTGTGACGTTCAGGGGCCTTTGTAGCTGGTGCAGGGATTAGGAGAGAGTGGCAAAGCCCCACCAGGGGCCACCAAGCATACGATGAGCAGAGCTCAGTGCCCACGGATGCTGGTTCTCCTGGAAACACATCCAAAGGGAAAAGACTTGATATACGGTTGTGTAAGTGTAAAATCACTTTTCAGAAAATTATCCTAAATGTAGGCTGTTACTTATGCAATGTTTATTTCTGTCAGTCTAATAAGCAAGGAGAAGACATAATCTACTCAGCTCCCCTTCCCAAAGTGACCACACACGCCCGGCCCCGGCAGACAAGCCCACAGGTGAGGAGCAGAGTCCTAGAGGTGCTGACAGCACAGACCCTGAAGCTGGCCTCATGCGCCCCAGCTGCAGGCACAGCGGAGCCGGGAGACATGGGCATCGCTGCACACAAACAAGGGGCTGAGGGTGGAGAAGCCGGAGGATGCCAGGTAGGACGAGCTGGCCAGCCAGGGGCTTGGGGTGCCCACCTGCATGGAGCACAGGGATAAGACAGAAGCCAGGGCATAGAAGGAGAGAAAGAGGCTGACCAGGAGCAGGACGCTGGGAGCGGCTTGCCTCTCACGGGAGGCCTGGGGGGCGAGTGCGCGGCTGAGCAGGTACTGCACTCGACGCCTGTGTCTGTGCAGCACGAGGAGCATGGAGCTGCTGGCCCAGCCCATGAGGCCCAGGCACATGGCGTCTGTGACGAAGAAAACCGTCGTTCCCATCAGGAAGGTTTCCCTCTTCTGGGTAGGGTAGAAACAGAACTTGTACATGGTCTCCATGCTCAGCTTTCTGCTGCCTCTTGGGCCAGTTACCTCCATCAGGACAGGCAGATTCAGCAGGAAGTGCAGGAGCCAGCAGAAGGCGCAGCAGAGCACCAACGCCCTGGGCCGACCTCAGCCTGCGCTGCACACACACACACACCCCAGGCCAGAGTGTCAGGGCCTGGAAGCTGCTGAGCAGGCAGGTGGTGCTGAGCGTGACCCCTCTGCACACCCTGTGCACACAGAAGACCCCCTTGCACCCAGCCTCACTCAGGAAAGTTCGCACCCCAAAAGCAGCCATGGTGTGAGGAACACCTTTGGAGAGAAGAGCCAGGGTGTTGGCTAAGACAAGCTGGGGGGGAATCAGGTCTGTGGGTCTCCACGTGCACGTGGTGAGAAATGCACAGGTGCACAGGCAAAAGAGGCAGGAATTCCCCAGGACTTCGCCACCTGTCTGAAGGAGGAAGGTGACCCCCCAACTGAGGCTCACAGACTGGATTTGGATTTTATTTTTAATCAGCAGACTGTGGAGACTAAAAGACAAAACTGAATTAGTATCATTGTGCCCACAAAATAATACATAAATATGCTATTTATTATTCTCAGTGGAACTGGGATTGAACCTTCAAGACCTGCATCTGGATACAAAAGAGCCTCAAGGAAAACTAGAAGTAATGTCAGAGTGCAAATAAATGAAATGGAAGCAAACAACAACCAAAAACCAAAGAATTCATGATGAGGATCTGAAGGACAAGGAAGTATGACAGATCCTTGATGTTACCACTAGGAAAATCAGTTTGTTGTTCCCTAAAGGAAAAACAAAACAAAACAAACCCACCTTACAACCTGCCGCATCGCATGGGCCGGCATCAGTGTGCAGGTACCAGATAAGATGGACGCTGTCTTTCCAGCGCTTCTTGCACAAATCCAGTCATGGACATTGTGCTGAGCAAGGTAGCTAAACACGGAGGGAACACACTCGATCCCACAGATCCTTCTCCACCTGGATCCATCAGCTCTCAGCCGCGAGTACGTGGAGAGGTCAGGAGCAGAGAGAGATGAAAGAAATGGCTCAGACACCAGCCAGGGTACTCAGGGGATGTGCCAAGGTGAGAAAGTGCCCAAGATCTAATGCACATCAGGAGGAGGGCAGGTGAGGGCATGGGACTCCATGGCTGGTGCCCAGCATTGTCCACAGCCAGAGTGGCTCTGGGATGGGTGAGTGGTGACGTTTCTGGTGAGTGTTTCACACGACATCCACAGGAAATACACTCCAAACAGAACAGCCTCCGGGAGGCCTCTGAGCCTGGCAATGG